AATCAAGGCGTAGATATTTTAAAAATTATGTGGAATATAATGAAAGTTGAATATCGGAAAAATATGGAATCGAGATTGAAAAATTACAGTTTGCAGATTAGATCAAAAATCAATTATAAGGATTCAGATTAGAGTATGTACAGAAATCAAAAGCGATCAGAAATGTGTTATAATTACTTATAGTGACAATTATATCAAAATTTAAAATCATAATCGGATTTTGCTAATTAAGATGAAACGAATTAAAGTTAAAGAGTAGATTGACAAACAGATTTTCCAAAAATTTATAAGACTTCAAATTTTAACCAAAGTCGGATTTTAGAGTATAAAAGTGACTAAAAGTAAATATTAAAAATAGGTCCAAAGATTTGAAAGGAATCAAGTTGGCAGTCTAAAATTTAAAAACAGAAATATTTCCCAAGCACTTAAAATTAAAAGTAGAATACTCTAATACAAAAACGTTTTCGAAATAAAAGATAAGAATTAGAATTTCAAGCTTAAGATTAAAATTTATGAAATTTTTAATATTTATAGAAATAGAATATTTGAGATATCTAAATATTAATGGAGTTATCTATTAATGTGTTAGTCAATTTAGTTAGTAGGATTTAATTATTCAGTTAGGATCTTGATCTTGATTTGGAGTCTTCGCGTTACTCCAGCTCTATTCAGTCTCGAGAATTGAGGGATGCCGTAGTAAACATGTCAATTCTTTATCCTCTGCTTCTGTTGGCTGTGAATAGAGCACATGACGAGAAAGATGTTGATGGTGAACTATAGATTTATTACAGCTATCAGTCCAGTGTTGTTTATAGTATCCCGAGCAATCTGGTGCGATCTGGTTAGTTACATCGATCTTCTGTAGTATTTTTTCTCCTTGGCGTAGGAATGGAATTAGCCAGCAGTATCAGCTTTCATCAACTAGGTTATAGTCTTGGCCAAAATGATTTTGCTCGGTTGCTGGTCCAATATTAATATTAGTGTAAGGTTAGTTTTACATATTTAAAAGAATTTATTTACTATAAACAAAACAGCATGATGAATTCAGCTCCTCCTGCACATGTTTAAAAATTTATTTATTTAGTCTACTATAAACTAACTATGAAGAACTCTGAAGAACATATTTAAAAGAATTTATTTATTTTACTATAAACGAATTATGAAGAATTCTTCAGCTGCAGCTTCTCCTTACGCATTTAAAAGAATTTATTTATTATACTAAAACGAATTATAAAGAACTCCTCAGCTCCTATTATTGTTAGCAATGCAAAAAATATATCTTTTAAAGATAACTATTAACACTTATTATATCTGGCGGCACTTCCGAAACCGCAGTTTTAATAAATCAAGATATTTCGGCCTAAATTTTCCTTTTTAAGTAACAAAAAACAATTTTAAATCTTTAAAAAAATTAGAGTACTTTTCAAAGTGAGACCTCCATGTAAAAACTTAACTGTTTTTCAATGGAAGCTTCCCTGTCGAAAAGACTCCATTTTTTATGTTGATCTGAAAAATAGAATTTATAAGGAAAATTTATATAAGACTTTAGTCACTGTTCGAAGTCTTAGGCCGATGGTGGTCGTTGAGGAAGTGAGCTTGACAGGGCTCACCAGGACCAAGCTAAACTCGGTGCCGTGCTCCTAGTCGTCTACAGCGCTCTCTCTTCATCCGCGCTCTCCATACTCGTACCAGCGCGTACCAAGTACGTTCTAAAAGTTCAAACTGTTTTACAGGGACTAGTCCTAACAATTTGAATGAATATTCCAAATTACTAAACTGGAAGGAATTAGGATGGTTTAGCCAGCCTCAGAAATCATGGAAGGGAATCTCTAGTGTCAAGCTGTACACTGTCATATTTTCCGACAGCGAATATAGACAACATTTGGGAAGGGAAGGAGACATCCACCCCCCCTTCTAAAATTATTCTACCCTTCGTAGAAACCTTCAAACAGTGTATTTAATTGCTTCTGAGACTGCACCACACATAAGAGATGTTGAGTCAAGCCATTCCTAGATCAGAAAAAAATATTAAAAACTACAAACACATCTGATATCTACTCCTGACAAACAATAACCTTCTATTATACCTATATTGATATTTCTGGCAGCAAGATATCAAATTAAAGAGTAGTATGAATCAGAATTATGTGTCAAAATGCATTTTTTCCTTGTCTACAAGGGATTAAAATGCGTAGATCTAAAAGAGAAGAACAGAAAACAGATGTGTGACCAGATAAAAAATATTCAATCCAGAGTTCAGAAAAAAATCAGATGCAAGAGTATACAGAGTTCAGAAAAAAAGAAAGCAAGATACTCAGCAATTTCAAATTGATGGACCAGAAAAAATGAAGAAAAAAATGAAGAACAAGAAATATAGAAATCTCAAAATATTTCCATCTGATATCATATAAATATTTAAAAATATTGTAAAATAAAAAAAAAATTATTAAAGTTTAAAAAACTTTAATAAACATAAACCTAAAGAATTAATTCACGAAAAAGACAACTGTTAGGATTACTTATTTAGCAGACATAAGAAATTCTGGATTAGATTAATAAAAAACCATCCAGACTGAATTATATTTAAAACTTTCAGAATTCAATAAAAAAGACGATCTTTAAGATTAAATTGAGAAAAAGACAATCTTATAGCAGAAGACCTTTCGGATAAAATTATAGAAAAGGCATACTTCAGAATTAAAGTATGTAAAAGACGACCTTCAGGATTAAAGCAATTTAAGGACAAAATCAAATTGAGAAAGACGACCTTCAGGATATAATTATATGAAAGAAAAATTTTGAATTAAAAAAATTCAGGATTTAATATGCTTAATAAAAACATTTAGAATTAAATTGTTTTATATTTTTTTTTATATCATGAATATCTTTTTATAATTCAATTCTGAAAGTTGTCGTGTTCTAAAGTTCATCCAACATTGTTGTCTTTAATATTTTTATACATATGCCTTATACCTATGCATATGCCTTATACATAATTTAATCCTAAAAGTCGTCTTTATTGTAATTTAATCCTGAAGACTGTCTTTTACAACCCCGTGGTATTACGGAGTTCTCCATACAAATTCGAGGTGTTCATGAGTTATGATCGGACATCAAAACATAGCTTACTACTTTATATTAGTATAGACAATTCTTACGCTGTTCATTACATATTCTAATTCTGAAGTTTGTCTTTTCTTCAACTAGGTCCTGAAACTTGTTTTTTAAATTATAAACCTAAACGTTGCCTATTTTAAGTTAAATCCCTAAGGTTTCCTTTTATAAAATGCAATCATTAAGATTATGTTTTACTTACTCTAATCCTGAAAGTCGTCTTTAATATAATTTAATCCTGAAGACTGTCTTAAATGAATAATATTTCAGTGGTTCTCTCCAAGTCTCCCAATGAAAACTTTAGAAAAATTCGTCAAGGGTTTTAAGATTTATCCAAACAGACAAATAGAGATTACTACTTTGTATACACTTGAAGGGTTCCCTTTTAAAGTTAAACCTGAAGGGTTACCTCTAATTCATTTTTGATTTCTCATCCTTTTTCTTTAAATATCTTTATAATAATTTTCTTTCAATCATCTTACTTATTTGATTTAAAAATTAACACCGCAATATTTATTACTGATAATATCGCTAGGTATATATAAGTATAATGTTATATACAGACTTGAAATAAACATAAAAATCACAAGTTTTCACTGAGTAGGAAAAGAGCGAGAAAAAGACAGAGAAAAAAGTCGGAATTATTGCGCTTTAGATTATTCAATTCTCAATGTTTTCTTAGAATACTTTTGGCATAATTTGAACCTCTTTTCTTCTTATTTTCTGCCCTATATATATATATATAGAAGAGATAAAACTGAAGTACTTATTGACTAGAATTCCTGGGTTTTGTACAAATGTTAAATTATGATAAAGTAGTTTAACAAAATGATCAAATAAAGATTACGTGGTTACACAACACATTGTAAAGTTTAAAATAATCCTCTACAAATTTATGTGAAAAAAAATTATCAAACTTATATAAAGTTACAAGTTTTACTATTAAAATGTGCACTGTGTTGTGTAATGTACAAACTGTACAGAAAAACACTAAAATTTTAAAAACACGAGTTGTTCTAAATTTTGTTTACATTACTAATTCAAAATCTAGTTTTAGATTTAGCAGGGACTAATATAATTACACTGGGTGCTGAATTGTGACATAAAATGATAAAATGAATACTGCGAAAAAATGAAACATTATTAAAAGGAAGAAATCTGACAAAAATCTAAAATATTTATCATCTAGCATCCTCAGCATTAAATATGTAATATATATATAACAGGAAGACAGAACTTAATAATAGATAAAACGATTACAAGATTAATTCATGTCTAATTTATCCGTTGAATTGCGAGTATTTATTAAACAAAGGTCACCAAACATAGCTATTTCCCCTTTGCAAAGATAAAATGATATTTTCAAGTTTTTAAATAACAAGTGAAAAATTCAACAACAAAAATATTAATATTGTGACCATTTTTCAAGTTTTCGAGATTCGTCTATTGCGGATATTTTTGTTAATCTAACATCGTGTAAATATTGAGCATGAAGTTGTAAAAAGAGAAGGAGTGGGGGGGGGGGGGGGGGGCAGGGGATACAACTTAAATATTGTTTAACAATTAACTTGTTTGAGCCGAGGGGTAAACACAGGGTAAGTATTAAAACCTGACTCAATTGATAAACTAGTGGAGACGGTTTCCTAAATTAGAATGTTTTTTTGCACACCCTGTTCTAAAAAATGTAATTTGTAAAAAGAACAGCATGGGGAATGAGATCATATATGTGAGGTTTACAATTACGCATAAGCAGAGATATTTTTAACCTAAGTGATCAAGGAGCATATATTTATGGTATAGAACTAAGAAGAATTACCGTTTTCAAAATAAAGAACACTGAATTCAGTATTTTCTTCTTATCCTATCCGCGTTATACACGTCTTGATACTTTTTAACTGTTTTTATTGCAACAATTATTTTTTATTTAGAACAGAACAGTTGAGGTTGCGTCTTGTTTATCTAGAAAACTAAAAAACAGTTAAGACAGTTGCCAAACGTTGATTTAGAGAAACTATAACAGTTATGACTGCGGCCTGGATTAAATATAACGGGGAGTGCAGATACAAATGTTTTCTACGCTGCTATAACAGTAGAATTTTACAAAAGGAATGTAAGGTATAAAATTCGGACGCGGTGATCTAATAAGATAGATGTTAGATCAAGTGTCCATGTTGTAAATTGGCTACTTGGAACTTGGATCCAGGAACTTGCTAAATGCAACCTGGAATCAGGAATGTAGAGACAGGAACAGGGTTCCAATATTCGTGAAACCTGGAGCTAGGAACTAGAAGAACTCCTTTCTTAGTTTCCTGTCTCTTAATCAACTTTGGTAAAAGAAGAAGAATGCTGTCTATTGTTCCACGGGTCTAGAATGGACCTATATGTCCATTATCTGTCTCTAAATAAAAAAGAGTTAAAAATGTTCTCACAGAAAAAAATCGCAAATATCTTTTCTTAAATTAAAGACCAAGAAACCTACCCGAGCCGAGGGACGAAAGACTTCCCGCCGTGCTACCGCCTCCCTCGTATGCGTAATTTCTAAGATCATCAAACGGCGGGGCGCATGGGTCAAGGTCTGACCGCCGTTTATGATCTTCAATAAAGGTCTCGACGTTTGAGTCTGGTCCCAGCATAGGACCAGGGTCTGGAATAAAGAAATTAATTCATATTTTTTTTATTTTTTAACCTATAAAAGATCATCGCTTATGTTTGAAAGTTTTAAACAAACTTTAATTTTCTCACCCTACCTTTGCAACCTGATGATGTTGAAATTTCAAACTTATTCATAGTTAAAAATATTAAACGTCATCATTTACAAGCAAAAGTTTTTTTCTTCACATTCAAGACAAAATGAACTTCAAATAAAAAAATATTGATTCCAAAGGAATAAAATTGATTGTGATATTTTCGAACTCTAAATTAATAACAAGACACCATATTCAATGAATCGGAGAAGTAGTTGAACTACGTAGATAAAATTCAACCACTTCTCTTCAGCTTAGTTCAACTACTAAACCATTCATTAAATCTGGTCCAGCTGAACTAAAATATTTCAAAAAATTAAACTTACATTGTATTTTCTGTCTCTGTAAACTATGTCGGGCTAATGCCGGATCTGCTATGGGTATCTGCAAGGGTGTGATGTCGAAGGCGGTCATATCATCCTCGCCGCCTCCCTCGTCCTCGTAGTTGATTATGTTCTCCCGGATGTCGTCGTCTGGTCCAGGGTACTTTATCTGCGCCTCACGCCGCCGGTTGTAAACAACAAACACAAGAACCAGGACTGAAAAAAAATTTTTTTTATGAAATAAATATTTTTAAAATTTCAAAAAAAGAAGGATGCCAGTTTTAAAGCTAAATTTCTAAAAACTGCTGTGTCTTACTGACATGTTTTTAAATTATAAATTTTAGGTTTCATACAGATAGTTTGAAAAAAATAGATAAATCAGGAAAACAATATTTTTTTCTTTTGATGCCATGCTTTGGACTACAGTTTAGTGGTTAATAATAGTTTTTCACAAGAACTAGTCAATTATGAATAACAGTCAATAAAAGACAATTTACAAGATTTTCCTAACAATCAGAATAATGAAGAAAAAAAATTGGAAAAATGTTAATGGCAAATCTATAAAAATTTCTAATTTTTAAATTTGATGTAAACTTTGCGTTTTTTTATATTTCCTAAACTATAATACAAAATTATTATTTAATTAAATAAACAAATAAAAGATAGAGAAAATAAAAATACGTACTACTATAAAACACTGGACAAATTAATTTCTAAAAAACTTTTGAATAAAAATCATGCAAAACAAAAAATGATTTGAAAATTCACTATCGTTTTCCGAGCTTCAAACTCAGTACAATAAGAAAGACCTATTATCTCAGCTTTCATCCTTTATGTTCTAATCCCCCCCCCGTCCCCCAAAAAACTTTTTTCTTTAAAGAAACAAAGAAATTTTCAAAGTTCGTCGTTTAATCTTCGTTTTGCAAATATCTTAAATATATTTTTGATTGGACATTACCTATTACGTTTCTCTCTTCACATTATCTATTACATTACTCCCCTCATTCATCATAATAAGTTATAGACCGAGAGAGTTAGAAGCTTTAACGAAGTAAAAAAAAAACTGGAATTCTTGAATAAATGCGAGAAATAGAAGTATAAATTTTTTTTAAGTATCAGATTTTGATATGCATACAATTCTGAAAAAATCTTTATTCTCTTGCTACACCTCAATTTTTTAGTCTCCAAAATGATTGAATCATCAATCACCTTCCTTTAACCCCTCATCTTGAAAACTGTCAATATATGATTTCTACCAAAATTAGGTTAAATTCACACACTCGATCATACTTACTTAAAAGAGAAAGTACGCAAAAAACAAAAACAATGATGAAATCTTTCCCTCCTGCAAGTACGACGGCAGGGGCCGCTAGCTCCTCGCAGTGCATTCCACTCCACATGTTGGGACATATACACCGGAAATGACGGAAATCGCTCAAGTTTATGCAAGTTCCGCCATTTTGACAGATTCCTGGGTCTTCACATTCATTCTCATCAATACATTGAGTAGCTCCTAGCCTTCTCTGCCCTACGGGGCAACTAAAATAAATAAAAAAAATAAACTATTACCAATACAAAAATCCGGAAACCATGCACCTAAAAGAACATACAAAATCTATCTAAAAACAAAAGAAAACATGCACGAAGTTGGTTAGTTGCAGCTTACTTAGAATGATTAATAAGCAGACCAATATGGCTGCCAGTGCACCCATACTAAGCCGTAGGATCTGTTCCTCTTGCATGAGTTCACAATTAGCTCCGGAATATCCAGCTGTACACAAGCATTTATATCTCTCGTTAGTATCACGGTTAGAACATGAACCTCCGTTAAGACAAGGGTTATCCAGGCATTCGTTCCTATCCTCACAGCCCTTACCATCAGGGGTCACCCTCTGCCCTCGTGGACACCTAAACTCCCAGGGTTAGTAAACTAAATACTTTTTCCTAACTTAGCTAAAATAGTAACTGTAAAAAATGGCCACTGTACTCCCCATGTTAAAAATTGGGAACAACCTCTTTTAATTATGATAAGATATAGAATATCTACGAGTTTCAATCCGTTTTATGAGAAACTAAGTGGAAAATTTATAAGTTTTGAATAAATTAAATCTAAAGCATTGGAATTGTTTAAATTTTCTGACTCAGATTTATCCAAAATGGAGGATACTTAGAACGCTTACTTACCATACCACAATCCCAATAAACACATGAGAATAAAATAAAGCAGCATTATTTCGTAATTACAATTTTAGTAGTGTCCCAGTAAAAACTTTTAGTTTCAGGATTTCCAAAATGTGGTCTACCATTTTTACATTTTAAAAGTTGACGGGGATATTCCAAATTATTAAAATACAGCTGAATTGTCCAAAAGTTCAAAATCTTTCTTCATTTCGAAAGATACATTTTGGAAATACACTCTTTGTTAGTAACCAATTGTTGGAAATCAAAGACGATTTATCAATTCATTCCTTAATTCCCATATTTACACAAAATATATAATGCCATAAAGTCTTAAAAAATGAAAACACCGAGTTCTACCAAATTGTTAGAAAGAAGGAACTAGAAAAGAATCAAGTTTGTTAGTTGATGTTAGTATAAAGTCAATGTTTTTGCAGCTAAACTTCTTGTTAGTAAGAAACAAAGGGTGTTGAGGGCAGATAGTTTAATGCATACAAGTTGAAAACTATACAATGCAATCAGGGGGCTTAGCATAAAATTCCAAAACTCAATATCGCCCCCCCATATTAAAAAGATTTCGGAAAACTCAATAAAAGGTTTTGTTTGAAATCCGATTAAAGAAAAAAAAAATTAAAATAAAAACAAACTTGGAAAAATGAATTCTTGCTTTAGCATTTTATTTTGTAAAATTAAGACCCCTAAATGCCGTCAAAGTCACATAAATGCATTTCTAAATATGTCCTACAACATTAATATAGAATATATAACATATTTTCTGTCTCGAATAAATACAATGTCTAGTGTACACTGTACAGGCATAAATAAGAAACTAAATCATTTCATTAAACGAAGTGACAGTTTTCAAAATGTGCAGAAACTGGATTCAGTTCTATTTGTATTTATTTTATTTGCTTATTATACTTTTGAAAATAATGCAGATAATCCCAGGCTTAAGTTTTAAACATATTGTTGAGATATTTAAAGGAAACAAAATGAAACAAGATTTATATATTGTTGAAAAATATATGCAGAATAAAATTTGGAGATTTTTATATAAGCAGTGATATATTTTATAAAACAAGGGAACTGGATACCTCGCCATAAACTTAAATTTTCAAATCCTAATATCTTTGCAACCTGATGGTGTAAACTTTTGATAATTAAAACTTTGACTGTTTGTTCTAGCATTCAATGTTTGAAATATTAAAGATCTACAACAACAGGTTGCTAAGATAAAGAGATTGGAAAATAAGATCTTGTGGCGCGTATCATAGGCGCAAAAGGGTTAGTGTACTGAAGTGAGGGGGAGGAATAAAAAAAAGGGGGGTGACATCATATTAGCCGGTAACCCTTTCCACAGATGCGCCTGTTCATAGTTCATTTCAAAGATGTTAGCTACTTTCCCAAAGGATTTTTCCCAAGTGGCAACTTCCCAAGGGTATTTTCCAAAGTGGCACCTTCCCAAATGTTCGATTTCCAAAAGCGGCGACTTCTCAAGTCTTTCCTAGTCTGTCCTAGCCGCAGCGCTCGGCCCCAATCCTGTTCTAGCCGCGGCGTTCGGCCCCCTAGCCCATCCTAGCCGCAGCCCTCATTGCAGCCTGCAGCGCCTCCCCTCAGAGGGTCTAATCTAACCTTTGGGAAGTTTCCGCTTGAGAAATTGCACATTTGGGAAGTTGCTATTTGGGAAAATGTCACTTGGGAAGTCGCCCTCGGGAAAATGCCTTTGAGGAAGTACATCACACCATTTCAAATATGCAAACTATATCCATGAACAGCATTAAATCCCTTTACTCTAGGCTGCAGTAAACAAAATGAAGAACCCATCACCAAAAATATAATTTAAGAAAACTTACTGAAAGAGATTGTTCAGATATTTAAACCAAGGAAGAGGTACCAACTATTGCTTAGAGACTTACAGGTTTATCCATAATTACGAGCTTAACATTTTTTTTTAAATTCCACAAATCTCAAAATCAAGAATCGGTACCTACTTCTAAACTTGAACAATCCCTTTAATTATCAAATTTTAAGAATTAATCAGAAATGAAACTAAGCATATAGTATTTTTGAAAGGTTTAAGAAGTGTTTGAAAAATGTTTAGATCTTAAACCATTTGGTTTTGTAGCAAGACACTCTTTCATTAATTTCTATTTTCTTTATTGGTAAAACTAAATGACATTTCTTATCCTTTTTATCCTCAGGATTTCTTTTATTTTTAAGAAATATAAGGCCTGATAAAACCTATAAATATTTTCATATTGCGGCTTAGAGCTGTAGCTGATGTTACTGTTATGAGATGATATTAAAGATACTTACGAGCACTCATACTCCATCCATAGATCTACACATACAAACGGATTTGGACAGATAACATTGGCGCAGGGGTTGTTAGACGGACAATTCTTCTGCAGGTTTCTAGCCATGGTTGCCTGACCCCACTGAGTTCCATTTAGCTGAGGTGGAAGAGGAAGAGGTTTTCTTTCTAATCTAATATCATCCATACATCCTTTAGAGAAATCGGAGTAAACTTCAAATGTTCTGACTCCGGTGTATTCCGCCTTTCCGCCAGCATAAACCCCTTCTTGTTTATCCACGGCCATCATTTGGTGTCCGATGAATAGGAAGGAATCATTGTATCTCCGCCCCTCTCCGCCATCAAGGGTTAGAATCGCGGCGGAACCGTATCGGGTTACCTTCGCAATATGCCATTGCCCATCGTCAACATAGACAGCGCTTAACCATATCTCTTTTTCTTCTGTTCTCAATGAGTTAAGATTATATCTGAACTTGAGCTTGCTCTGCTGTATCTCTAGTATACCATATTCTCTATTATGCTGATCTGAAACCCGGAAGAGTTCTCCCTGCTCCTCTCTGGTTCTAAACCTTAGCTGTATCTCCGTAGTAAACCTGTCAGGTTCAAAACTCAGGGCGTATTTAACATAGCTCTGACTGTTGAATGTACTAGGCATGGTTTCCAGTTTACAATCAGGTCCAGTCCATCCTGGGTTACATTCACATCGAGGAGAACGGAGAGATCCGACACAACGACCATGATCTCCACACCTTGAACCTGGACTGTTGTTAGTGTTGCAAACCTCTTCAGTGGGTCGACAACCCGGGATAGAGTTACGGGATAATCCCGGTTCAGCCAGATCGTAGAGTTTAGAATTATGGATTACATTCCGGATACAACCGTCAAACGGTTTCCCAGCCGGGGTATGGCTCCATTTATACTGAACCGGATCAAACTGTTCAACAGCCATGCCTCCGATCTGCAGTGGAGTATTTACGTTTAGATACTCATTAAATGGAGGTATTTGTCCAGTAACCTGGCAGCTGGAATCATCAAACTCAATAGGTGATCCATCTTCATGCTCTACTACTGTGGCAGAGGTACAGAAATCAACAACCATTCGAACCGTCTCTCTGTCCCAGAAGACATCAATCCTATGCCAGTCTCCGTCATCCAGGGAGTTCTTCACTGGAACTCTCAGCTCCAGAGTTCCAGATCCAAAATCCAGGAGAAGTCTTGGCTGACCTCTCGCGAGTTCAATAGAGATAAAATCTGAGATGAGTAATTCCTCTTCCTCCGGTGGAACTATAGGTCCGTTGTACAAGATCACTCCTTCAGGTTTCTTAGCAAGAAACTCTACAGAAAGATGGCTTTCCTCACAGAGTTCCAGAGGGGGATACCATGCCCAGCCTTTTCCGTTAAAGGTTCTCGTAGTTTGTTGACATCTGGGACCGTCAAAACCTCGAGGGCATTGACATCTAACTCCCCATCTACCCTCCAGACAACGGCCTCCGTTGTAACAATGAACGTTTCGACAAGTTTCAGGTTTGTCAAAATTTCTTGCTCCACAAGAACATTCAGCTTCAACTAAAACTCTAACACCCACCAGAGCTGTTCGGTTAGCATTTACCATATAGGGTAAAGACGATATTTCTAGAGAATTGGAACAACTGCCTTCACAGTTCTGGTTCTCATACAAACACTCGTCAATCCCAACCATGGTTATATTGATCTTCAGTTCTCTTTCAAAATCTTCTCTGTGCTGAAGCAGGAGTCCGTTTAGTTTGACAGGTTTAAAGTACGGAGAACCATGAACAGAAAACCTGACATCAGTCGTCTTCTCCTGCTTAGCATGATTCATTACACTGAACACATCAACATTTTCTACCTTGACATTCATGATCTGAGAGAGTTTCTCTTTAAACCTCTCCGCTCTGCTGATCTCCTGACGCTCAGTGTCCCAGTTCCAGGTTCGGATAAAATCCTCGTCAGAGATTCCAACGACGCGCATTGATCCTGAGTTTATAACAGCCTCATGAGGAATCTCCTTGACAAGAACTGTTACATTAGCGGGTACATCCACCTGGGTGTGTTTCCGATCCTGAACCCGGAACTTGAGAGAATATCTTCCCTCCTTCACACCATGCTTCATAGTGATCATCCCTGTATCACGGTTCAAGGAGAAGTAGGGATGCGCTTCGTCCTTCAACCATTTGAACGTCTTGTCAGCAATATCCCAGTCGTCCTTATCTAGTACATACACTCGTCCAATCTCTGTGCTTGGGGATTGTCCCTAAAATGAAATTTATTAAAAATTGTAATTCTGAATGTATCTTCTGTTCAATAAATGTAAAGAAAGGGAGAAACCAAATCACAGGTTTTACACACAATATTTCCAGCTGTTAAAGATTGTTTAGAGAATAATAAATCACACTTTATTTATCAAAAAGTTCTAAATCATAACAAAGAATTACAACTGTTCAAGGCCTGCCTTTTGCGGGAAATTTATCTGATTTTTTTTTAAAGCAGAAAGTAAATTTTACCTAGAAAAGGAAAATAAAGGAAGTAAAATCCTGACCATCCTATATCATTGAACACTAGCTAGGGGACCCTGCTTTTTAACGAATACTAAAACATTTCCTTGGTTCTACCGAGTTCCACTACTGAAATTTGGGGCAAATCGGTCAAGGGGGTCCAGAGTCCTGATCTGACTTCCAAACAAACAGACAGACACCAAGACGACTACTTTATATATATATAATTGTTGTTATGCTTTTAACAAGCTCCAAAAATTTTGAAATTATACTAGGTTCAATGCAGCCGTTAGGGGGGGGGGGATGATAAAAAGAGACATAATCAAAAAGGGTTCATTCAAAAAAAAAGTGAGGCCAGCATTTTTAACTCACCATATAGTTGTAAACCATGATATCTTTTTGTCCCGGCTGCATCTTATTATCGTTGGTATCTCCGATGATGACAGTAAGGGTACTGGTGCCAGACATGCTGGGGTTCCCTGAGTCCTTGATCACGATAGGGATCAAATATTCCTTCTGCTTCTCACGGTCAAAGGATCGGAGAGAGGTTACAACAGCCATACCGTCACCGTTAGCACCCTCTACAATGATAATATCGTTACACGACAAATTCAAGCAAAGGAATTGAGCCTATGCCACCCGCTCAAATTTTATATTCCCTATATCTTTGCAACCTGATAGTGTAAACCTTTGATATGTCAAACTTAAACTATTTGATCCAATAGAATTCTTAATTATATTATTAATTATTATAGTTTGAAATAATAATGGTGTAACACTAAAACAAACCAGCATAAAATCCAAACTAAAGTTGATTACGAGGTCACAAAGTCGTACTAGTATAATGTCGTATAAATTGGACCTGCTCCTTCTGTGATGAAAAGAGAGTTCAGTATTTAAGAATTTTACTAGTCTTGTAAAAAAGGATAGTTTTTTTACAGCCGGTTTGTAAACTTTCAGAAAATTAAAAATGTCTTTTTGCCTAAAGTGATATTTAGAAATGGATCTTCAAAGAATTAATTCTCTAAAATGTTCATTTCATTCTCATTTTCATAAAAATTTAGTGCCGATTTATTTTAACAAATTTGTAGGTAAAATTGAGGTTTCTGCAGAAATCTACCAGAAAAACAATGTTTTTGATGCGATTTCTATATTCCATTTTAAAATAAAATTAAAGCTGTTTTTAGAAAGATCTCAAAAAAGAAAAATTTTACTGCTCTATTGGATTTTGGTACGAAAACCTCTCTGATCTTTAAAATCAAAATTATTGAATTTGGTTGGATATGGATGGATATATCAGAATAGCAAATGGAACTAAACATGCACCACAAATTCTAATTTTCCAAATCTCTAAATTATGACTGATTAAAATCAAATAGTCTAAGTTTAAAAAATCAAAGATTTACAATGTCAGGTTTCAAAGTTATCTGGATTAGAAGTATTCAGTTCCTTTTCATGTTAAATATTATATATACGCAAACCTTTTGGGAATTAAATCTGGAATAAGTCCCAACATGTCAAGCAAAGTGCTGTGTAATTATAAATGTTAATGAGATCTGCCATCTTAGATGGAAGTAATTAAGTTAATTGGGAAAATCTGTAAGCGAAATTTTGAATATGCATTATATAATCCGAAGTTTGTACTGCCACAGAATTTAATCTGGAGAGTTTTTAGGCTTAGGATTATCAACCCTAGTGCATCAAGGACATCATCCCCTTGATCCTTCTGCAGACCCGCGTCTTCCAAACCAGTGACGAAACCATAGTCATCACATTTTAAACCATTCGTTTTCGGGATTTTCTCTTTTTATGTAAACGTTGATAAATTCTCAATTAAATATACAGTCCTTTTCATTATGAATTTTTTTAAATAAACCAGTCATGACTAACTTTAGTAGATGTTCAGAAGAAAGGATATATTATTGCATTTATGAAACTTTGAAATATATGTGAAAGGACAAAATGTATATAATTTAGGTTCTTCTATTTTTATTACGTAATAAATGTAAATTGCAGAAGAGTTTGTCCCATATAGAACTTTCTACCAAATATTAAGGACACTATATTTCATAGAATATCTAAGTTTGCAATGTTAGCAAATGAAGAGGGGGGGGGGGGGCTTGTTATTGATAGAAAGGAATCCACAAAATGACATTTAAAAGATATGGAGTGTCTTTTAAGATTTTCTTGAAATTGATATGGTTTACTCACTTGGATCATGTTCAACAATAAACGCAGCTCGAATCACATCTGCAGCATTAGGATCCATTCGGAATACAAAGGATGGACCATTCCCCCTGGACCTATCATCATCATCAGTTGCCAGCACTTCGACTATCTTCCTGGGAGCACTGTGCTCAGGTAGAACAGGTCGGTAATCCTTCAAAAACCTTGGGGCATTGTCGTTAATATCGTCAACGGTAACGGTTAGAGTAGCGGTGGCAGTCTTGGGTGGATCTCCATCATCAATGGCAAGAATTTTAACCTGATGGGTAGGTACACTTTCTCTGTCTAGTTCACGTTGTATTGTTACTGTGCCATCCTCGCTGATGGCAAACTGTCTACGGCGGTCAGATGCCCGGTCAATGGCATACCTGACCTTGCTGTTCCCTCCGCGGTCAGGATCTGTAGCTCGGAACCTTTCCAGAGCCTTTCCGACCTTAGCGTTCTCTGTAACATTTGCTTCAATATTTGATCTTTGGAATATGGGTTTGTTGTCGTTGATATCTCTGAGCTTGACAACAACCCAGGAGTAGGCGACGTGATACTTGTCGTTGTCGTTATCCTCCCCCTTGTCGTTAACCTGTATCCTGAACCTGAATCCTTGTCTTTGCAGCTGATCCTCGTAGTCAAGCTGTTGTACAACCTTGAGAGATCCCGTCCCATCATTGTTCCTAACCATGGTAAACTTATCTGCTCCGAACCCTGAGGACTCTATCACCTTGTAATGGAATTTATTACTTTCGTCCTCATCATGAACTGTAACTGTAAGAATTGGAGCATCAGGGAGCAAGGTTCCGTCGGTCTCATCAACCTCAGTCACCCATTCTTGTTTAGTAAAGCTGGGTGGCATGTCGTTGATATCTTTAACACGGATAGATGCTGTTCCAGTTCCCTTCAATCCACCACCATCCATAGCAACCACTTGGATAGAATAATCTGGAGTCTTTTCTCGGTCTAGGCAACATACTGCAGTCTTTATCACACCAGTCTCTTCCTCAATCTCAAATATTGGAGTTCCAGTATTCTCATCAATAACATTCTTTTCAATAGAATATTTAAGCTTGGCGTTGGTTCCTTCCTCCAGATCATCATAATCAGTAGCAGTCATTGTCATCACCATCATACCAGCCGTACCATTCTCTGTCACATTGCCGTAGTACACGCCCTGGGGGAACAAAGGGGCGTTGTCGTTGATGTCCTTCAGGTTGACCTGCACATCTGCATAGCCGACTAGGCCTTGTCCGCCCTCGTCCTGAGCGAATACTGTAAACCGCCATTGAGGACGACCGTTCGGCTCATCTCGATCCAAAGGCTGAAAATGACATTATTAAATTTTGTAAAAAAAAATTTTACTTTAGAAATAAAAATTTTTACATTTTTATTAGATTAAAGTATTTTATGTTTTCTAAAGAACTAATGGTATTAAACCTTATTTTTGCAATCTATTAGTGAAAACCTTTGATATTTCTAACTTAGATTATTTGAACTAACAGAATTCATAGTTTGAAATATCTAAGGTTAACGACATTGGGTTGCAAAGATATAGGGAGTAAAATCTGACAAAGACTCAATTCCTTTAGCATTCATATCAATTGATGTCAGAGTAAAATAAACTTTCTTTTCCTCTTGGATTTTTAAAAAACTTTCGCTCTTAACTTTTTTATCAATTTTCTGTTTACATTGGAGTCTATACTTAAATTCTTTACTATAAACTAAAATATCCAGAATATAAACTTAATCTCGGCGAAAGTTCATTTTTGTCCAATCTTTGCTCGGATTAGAGGTTGACAAAAACTAGTTTGCTCAAGATCGATTGTTTCCTATATAAAAGGATTCAGGCAGAGGGAACAAAAGAAGTTTAATCTTGTGATAGTAAGTTTAGTTGAAATTCCGCCCATTTTACTTTATTCTTTGTTACAACCAAGGATATCAAAGAATCTTAACAATGAGCATGCTTCATAGTTTTTTAAATAATAAAAGCTGACTAAAGTTTGCTTAAGGTTGAGAATATTTAGATAAATTTTTTTTTAATAAACCTTTATCTTTTATCAAACTATGTAATAACTTAATAATTTAATCCCTGGCTTTCTAAATTCTTTTCCTGGTTAAATATTAAGAAACAGGCATTTTTTTGAGCGAACATAATTTGTAATAAAACTCGTCAAATGTACAAATATTACTGCAGTGCAGAATATAAATACAACTGCAGTACATATCGATATAAAAATAATAAAGAAAAGAATGGTTTCTGTAACTGCTGTTGAAAAATGTATGGATGATTGGCTACAGTTATATAATCACTTTGTAATCGGGTTAAATATCCGAGGGTTGAAAGCAGGGTTGAGAAAAACCTCTTTTAAATACACCTAATAGTATAGTGTGACTCATAAAACTGTACAATAGGAAGACGACTGTAAGGCTCAAGTTATGATTTAAATAGTTCCATATATATGACTCACACCAGTTACATCAAATACAGATAAGATTGCTAAAATATCGTCTTCCAATTCCATAATTTAATAGGTCCCACAGTATTTTAACTGTTTTCTCACCTTTAGAACGTAAATCTCTCCTGATGTTCTGTTGATATCAAACTTTGAATGATCTGGTCTCTCCGGGTCTATCCCTTGACCAGTCAGGAAATAAACAATACTCTCAGGTCTATCCTTGTCTCCATCCGATGCTTTAACCTGGGATATATATATATAAGCTTTAACCTAGTATTTATATAGTTGAACACCAGGGATATATAGTTAAACACCAGGGATACAGGAGCTTTAACCTGGGATATATATATATATTTAAGCTTTAACCTAGTATTTATATAGTTGAACACCAGGGATATATAGTTAAACACCAGGAATACAGGAGCTTTAACATGGGATATATATAGTTAAACATCAGGGATACAGGAGCTTTAACCTGGGATATATATAGTTAAACACCAGGGATACAGGAGCTTTAACCAGGGATATATATAGTTAAACACCAGATACAGGAGCTTTAACCAGGGATATATATAGTTAAACACCAAGGATACAGGGATATATATAGTTAAACACCAGGGATACAGGAGCTTTAACCAGGGATATATATAGTTAAACACCAAGGATACAGGAGCTTCAACCCTAGTATTTATATAGTTAAACACCAGGGATACAGAAGCTTCAACCAGGGATATATATAGTTAAACACCAGGGAGACAAAAGCTTCAACCCTAGTATTTATATAGTTGAACACCAGGGAAACAAAAGCTTCAACCCTAGTATTTATATAGTTAAACACCAGGGATACAGAATCTTCAACCAGGGATATACAGGGTGTCCCATATCAAATTAGACCGCGTCAATGGGTCTAAATTACGATTTGGGGGACAAATCAGAAAATTTAAGTAGAATGAATCATTTTGAAAAATTTAACAAGGCTAATAAAATTTTTTTTGCAGAAAATGCTTGATTTTTTGAGTATAATGTGCGTATTTAGGTGTTAAAGATTGGAGATAATCTAATATGATATGGGTCACTCTGTACATAAAGTTAATTACCCAGGATACGGGAGCATTAAATAGGGATATATATTATTAAACACCAGGGATACATAAGCTTTAACCAGGGATATAGGGGCGTTTAACCTGGAATTTACACTTTAAGATAAAGGGTGTCCCAACTAACATGGGAATTGAGAAACGTCTTGAAAGTCGTCTTTGATTTCTAATATTAAATGCACAGCGAAATAAGGATACAAATGAGGCCGTGCGTCTTACGAGCTTTTCATGAAGTGGTCTATATATCACTTTTCTTGTGTCTTAAAAATTGACGAATATATTAGATATTAAGACAATTTGGATTTATTGAATAAATTTAAATCTTTACAAAAATGGTAGTAGATCACATTTTGAAAATCTCAAGACCAGGCGTTTTTAATATAAGATGTCTAAGCTGGAATACTGCAATAATTGTGTTCATGAAAAAATGACGCATAGATCGAAGACGATAAGAAGGTCCTCACTGAATTTCCATGTTTATTGGGACACCCTACCCTATATTTATATATAAAAATAAATATCAAAACACAAAATAACCATGAGAAAAAAGCATCGAAAGTTTGTAAAAACAATTAACAATTAATCAATATTTTTTTCTCACTCAAGATTCTCTTTCAAAGTGTTTCAAGTCCCAAATCAATCAAGTCAAAGCTTAGCAAAAGGTGGGTTTGAATAGAAATATGAAATTTTAAGTATACTTGAAAGTACTTTCATCAGGGGTGGATACAGGATATAAATGAGAGGGGTGCTAGATTTATTTCGGAACAAAAAATCCAGATTTCGGAAGCAAAAGACGCACCGCAGACTTAATTTTTTTACTTTCCTGTTTTTCCAGTAAGTGCTATTGTGAAGCTATTCTGAAATCTCAAGGGGGGATCTCTCAGGGGGGTGCGAAGGTCCTGCCGCCCCCCTGTATCTGCCCCTGATTTATAAAAGCCTTGTCCACCCAAAAACGTCACCACTTTTCAAAATTTAATTTGAAAATATGTTAATTCTATTAGATTGATTTTCGAACTTGTTGTGATATAACTAAAATGAATAAAATTTAAAAAATCCAAACAAAACTGCCTCAAGCTAAAAAATATCTAGTTGTAAAATAAAAGCTGAATCTAAGCTAACAATTCTATATTAATGATAGGAGAAATTAATTCTGTGTTCGTTTTCCAGTTGGTTTAGATTTATCTATATTTAAGAAAGAGAATTATAAAATATATACAAATACAGCCACAGGGTACAGGGTTACCCACAAAGGAACCGAGGAATCGATGACAAACTAGAAATTTCCAATTATGGTAATGTGAGGATTACTTTTGAACTTAATGCTAATGCTATGAAAAAGATAAAAAATTGTATACTTTATTGTATTGTACTGTACTGTACTTTTCAATACTGTACTGTACTGTTCTATACTGTACTGTACTGTACTGTACTGTACTGTACTGTACTGTACTGTACTGTACTGTACTGTACTGTACTGTACTGTACTGTGTACTGTACTGTACTGTACTGTACTGTACTGTACTGTACTGTACTGTGCTGTACTGTACTGTACTGTACTGTACTGTACTGTACTGTACTGTACCGTGATGCACTGTACTGCACTGTGCAGTGAACAACCTACCTGAAGTATTGGTGTTTCTTTATGTACTGTTTCCTCAAATATGTTAGCTGTGTATGTATTATTTTTAAATACAGGCGGGAGATCATTCACATCCCTTCATATTTTCATATTATTCAAATATTTTCCTTTTAAATCATATTTTTTTCCATATTATTTGTTTTTAAAGATTTGAGAAAGGAGTGCAACAAAATAATATCCACGAAAAAATCGGCTTACCAGGATCAAAGCAAAGAAAACAGGGGAAAAGGGACAGGACATGTTTTTATTATATCAGAGAGGGGGGAATCTTTGAAGCAAAATTGAACATATTTGAAATGGATCCATTTTGAGAAACTAAATTTTATTCCAGATTAACCTAAAATAGAACTGATGCTAGAATAATATTATCATCACGTTCAAAACTAATAATATGAAAATATGAAGCTTCCCTTATTTTTATAAAAACAATTGTAGGTTTTTCATTCAAATTGTCGGATGCAACTATCTCTAACTCGTACTAAAAAAAAAACTAAAAAAACATGCAAACTAAAAAAACAAAAACAAACATAACAAAAAGGGTGAAGGGACGAAACAAAAAGGGTGAAGGGACGAAACAAAAAAGGATGCTAGGACACTGAGGACAGGTTAATTAACCTCTAAAACTCGTTTTGGTAGATTTCTATCATCCTCTTCAGTTATCTGGGTCTCATAGGTCGGACGGTCGAAAACTGGGGGGTTGTCGTTAACGTCGTTGACGTGAATAACGACCGTTGTGTAGTTTTCATTCAAGTTGTCTGAAGCAACCAGACGTAGTTCATACTGAACATATTAATAAATGGTCAGAAAATAAATTCTTTGAATTTTTAAGAATAGAGAAATTTTTGAAATTGAATAACGATAAAAATTCTATTTTGCCATCATAGAAAATGTTCCTTATTTCATTAAAGATCTGTCTCATATTTTTATGTAAATGTTGTTATTATTTTTAAAAAAACTAAAAAAAAGTTTTTTAGTTGTCAACATACGTCTCAACCAACATATTACATTTAATTTTAACCAGAGGCCGAATTTAAACCTTGGCTCAAATATGGGTGGTTCTCCTTTATATTGTATTAAATTTTTGAAGATTGAATTGAAACCCGTTTTTGGGGGATTTGAGACGCAGCTTAAATTCATTAAGCCACAGGTCATTTTACTTTTAGAAATAAAAAAAACAAGAGATATTGCTCAAAGTATTATATTCAAATGGCTGACTTCAAAGTTGGTCAAAATTATTTTTAAGAATATCAAAACTAATTCTTTGGAGGGTGGGTTTAAAATGTGGAATTTTTGGCGTAATTGGGATAAAAATGTTAAAAATTTGTATACAGTTTAAGAAATATATCAGGATATTGCTGATAAATGTTTAAAGTTTGAATAAACGGATGTAGAAAAATTGGAAAATTGAATCCCATTTTATCCAAATATATGCACAGGATGTCGCAAAAATTCTTTGTTCGCTAGGACAAGTTCCCAACTTCAGTCAAATTCTTCGTTCATCAAGGACAGAAGTTTATCAATTGGAGAGGTCGTTGAACTACCTATCACCGGTTCAAATCCTAAATCTGTTAGATCAAATAATATAAGTTTGAAATAACAAAGATTTAAACCATCAGGTTGCAAAGGTATATTGATTAGAAAATTTGAGTTTGTGGCAAACACTCAATTTCTTTGAACCGGCAGAAGACAGTTCAGCGACCAAGCACAAATTCATTAAATTCGGTCTCATTACTTTTACGAACGGAACTAACTTTACTCTCTTTCTTAAAACTCCTAAACGTTCTCAAATGATTTCCAATAAGAGGTTTGAGTTTTTCCTTATTTAGAGATTAAAATGAAAATTTTGGTGTCAGAACATTTTTAGTTTGGCAGAATTTGGGACACTCTGTGTTCATATCTAAATGCAAATTCAATCTTTTATCAATTTATTTCCATAATAAAATTCTAATTTCAACTTTCGGAGGCCATTTTAAAGTTTTTTTTTTATAAAAGCGCTAATAATATTTACCCTCTTCCGCTGTTCGTAGTCGAGAGGCCCAGCTACATATATCGCGCCGGTCATATTCTTCACTGCGAATGCACCACCAAAATTACCACGTGTTATCTCGTAACGAATTCTTGAAGCTGAAATTAATAAAAAGATAAAAATTAACAAATAAAATAATTTCGAAACTAATATTAAGTCAAGAATTACGATCAATGTCGACAGATAAAGATAATAATGCCTCCAAAATTTGTTTATTCCTATAATATTTCATAATAATTCTTAATACAGAATTCTTAACTGTAATAAACACATTTTTTTTTTTACATTTAATAGCTGTTGAAGTACATAACACACATAGAGAACAATTTATGTGAAGATAAATTTAAATAAATATTTAAATTTCAAAATATGTTTTTACATATATTTCACACTTCTTTGCATAAATATTGTTGAATATATGCTGAATATACTGAATATATCTACTGAAAATATCAAAATATTTGAATTTAAGTAAGATTTCCAAACTTCGTGGATATTCCGCAGACTTGAGAAATTCTAACCATTTGAGGAAAATGGTAGTTTTAGCTCTCAAACAACTTCACATAAAACTTTATTAATCCTTAAATGGGACGTTGGAGAACATATAAAAGTCAAAGTCTGAAAATTAAGATCTAAGTTATGGATTAAAGAAACTGCTGTTCCTTTTTTCAATAGAATAAATATGAGCCACTCTGGGCCGTAGTAAATTTGAATTCGAACAGGACCTGCCCAGTTTGTACCGGCCTGCCAGATAACAGCGTGTACTGACCCGATCCTATGGTAGCCCGGTTCTTGACCATATTCTGTACAGTACGTCGCCCTAATAGATAGATAGATAGAAACATAGATTGAAACATAGATAGATAGAAAGATGGATACATTACATAGATATAAAGATTGATAGATAGATAGTTTTTTAGTGTCTTAGAGTAAAAAAAAGATATAGATAGTTTAATATAGATGGTTAAATAAAAAGATAAATAAATAGAAATTTATTGATACAAAAGATAGATTTAAAGGTAGATGATAAAAAGATGATAGATATCTGATCGGTATAGATGATGAATATACATAAAATAAACAGATGAATATAACGTTAGATAAGCAGATAAACAAGACCCTTACCTCTGCTTCGTAAAGTCCCTTATCGAAGTATGGAGGATTATCGTTCTTATCTGCTATACCAATACGGATAAACTTAGACACTAAAAATAAGATAATTTTTTTTAAACATAAAAAAGTAAGAAAATTAATTTTATTTTATATTTCATCTTGAAGGAACTGTAGACGTAATATCAGGTCACTTTAAAATAGAACCTCAATTGAAAATGATCAATTCTTAGGGAAAACTCCAATAAAACTTGCTCAGGAAAATGTTAAAGGGTATCGTTGTGAATGGGAAGTTTTAATACTCTATAATGAAATCCCTTTAAAGATGGTACTATTGATTTTATTTTACTATCAATATATATAAAATTGTAATCTCTGTTTGTCTGGGTGTCTGTTTGTTTGTCCGATCTTAACTCAGGAACCCCTGGACCGATTCGCCTCATATTTTGATTGGAGAACTCGAGAGAATGTTCGTAAATTGGTTTTAAGATTCTAAGTTGGGAGGATCGACTTAAATAGCGAACATTTAGTTTCCCTGTAAAATCGTTCGAGTGCGGGTAAACGGCGGGAGTAACTTTTAATAACCTTGGCAGCGCTGGGTACCCCCAAGCTAGTATATAATATATATGTAGATATTTCTTATTTCAACTAAACTTAACAAAAGTTAGTTATTTTCTTATTTATTCTGAAAATAATGCGCCCAGGTCGTTATCAAGCTTATCCAGTTTAAACTTGAAGAAGAAGTAGCAACTAGTGGGATAAATGAGGAAGTCTTTAAAATGGTAATTAGAACACTCTCCACTTAACTTTACTATTTCTTTGGTCAATGTACTGCTGAATCACTGCAGTACACAGCAAAAGCTCTGTTGAAGGGGGTGGGGGTAGGGGGGGGAGGCCCTCACTAGACCCACACTTTTCCCTCTGAGAACAATTAAAACCCAAAAAATGCTCTGTTCCTCATAGAATCTCACAGAATAAACAACACTAGGAAGTGAGAGGGATTATTTTTGACACCCCCCCCCCCATCCACCCCGGAGATGTAAACTACAGAAAGCGTTGCAAGTGCACAAAGTCGATCGTTAATAAATATATTCACATTCAGTTAAATAATATTAGATCTATATACAGTTATAACCAGAAAACAACGGAATAGTAAGACGACATTAGATCAATAATTTAGAGCATTTAATGTTGTTACAAATCAAATAGTTTTACTAAACACTCCAAATCAACTAATTTAGTGAAATGGGTCTGTTTACACTATTTGCTATGTCTCTTGCTCATAAGACTTCTTAAAGTAATAACTTGATTCAAATAGTTTGCTTCCTATTCCAGAGTTTTCTGGTTATCACTGTATTAATCACACATTGGCATAAACATAAAATCAGGCTTTATACTGAGGGGTCTTGCAGGGTTCAAAGATTAAGCGTGTATGGAGCACTTGACAGGGAACATAAATAACGGAATTGAGTTTTTGCCATAAATCAAATTTTCTAATCTTATATCTATTTAAACCTTTGATATTTCAAACTTAACTCTATAGAATTAATAGTTTGAAAAACATTGAATTGCAAAATTATAAGGATTAGAAAATCAGAGTTTCTAATCTCATATCTATCTAAACCTTTGATATTTCAAACTACACTATATAGAATTAATATTTTGCAACATCTAAGGTCTACAACATTGGATTGCAAAATTATAAGGTTCATAAAATCAAAGTTTATGGTGAAGCCTGAATTTCTTTACTCGATTCGACACAAGGTCCTCTTGAGAAATTATTTAAATAAATTGCACGCAGAAGTAATTTTCAATTTAAATGGAAATATTATGTGTTTTCAATCATTACTTCTTTATTTAAAGAGCATGAGAAGATTTTTTTAAATTTCTAGTATGTGGACCAGTAAATTGCTTTATTGATTAAAAAGAATAATTTAAATGAGTTTTCTACCATTTCTAAAAGTTTGTTGTGCTGAAAGAAGAATTGGAAGAACCAAACTTCCGGCCATTATGTCTAAAATCGTTTCTACACAAATAGTAAACAATCGTTTCTACACAAATAGTTAACAATAGTTTCTACCTAAATAGTTAACAATCGTTTCTACCTAAATAGTTAACAATCGTTTCTACACAAATAGTTAACAATCGTTTCTACACAAATAGTTAACAATCGTTTCTACACAAATAGTTAACAATCGATTCTACACAAATAGTTAACAATCGATTCTACACAAATAGTTAACAGTCGATTCTTTTCACGTACAAGCAGTTATTTCTGAGCGGCCATTTTGTTTTACTAGTACTTTTTTCTTCAAAAATATACCTAATTTTATAATGCATTGTAATAAAAATTACATCATATTTTTTTTAAATTCCTACGTAATGATTGTAATATGTAGGTAGACTAAACCATATCGACAAATTAGTAAAAAAAAATATTTTGAAAAAAATGAGTTTTTTCGTTGCAATTTGCAATGTGCGCTTAATATCAAGTTGGCAGTCCTTTAAGGAGCAAAGCTGTTCTGAAATGTACCAGTCTATAATTTTTCTTGAAAATTGTTTTGTACCTTTTGTACTTTATGTATATCTCAGGTATAAACTAATGTACACTGTAAGAAAATGACAAATGGACATACATTTCTCATTTCATATTGTATAGAAGTACAGAATGCTTAATGCACCTCCAGGTCTTTCAATAATAATAAAGTTTAATCCCAACCCTACTCTTTAGAATAATGATATTTTTTAGATATATTTTCTTTTTGCTTATTTGGCATTTACATGTGCATATTTTCTTGAAAAATCATTTCGCTCACAATTCTTTGATAAATAATGAATAAGGTTTTTAAGTTAAAAAATAAAAATTAAAAAAATTTGGGGGAAAATATAAACAAAAATTTAGGGGAAAAGATGATGAAAAACTTGCTTTTTTACCAAAGCATAAAAATGCTTTTCCCCTTTGATTAATTCAGGGAAATATACACCCCTGATTATTAATTAAATCTTGCAGGATTATAAGACAAGTTTTCTTTCATTTACACATAACCTGTATTTTTGTATTTTTATTTTCTTAAAAGATCATAGAATTTTTTCCAATTTTCTTTATCCATTTCATTTAAGATATCTTTACAAATTTATTTTGTAAAAAAATTATCATTCATATCCCACCAATATTAGAATCTGACCAAAATAAAATGGATTTGGTGTAAAAAAAAGTTTTCTTTGTACACTCTGTGTTCATACGGAGGCTGAGATGTAACTGTAAAGATGTGTAAATCTGAACTGGGATGCACTCCATCCTTCCATCCTCTACATATCCATACAGTACACAGCACCAACATTATATCACGCTAAACTAAGAGTCCTGCTTTAAAGTCAGTGAGCCTTATTTTTCGCACCCTTTTCCGCCTGATTAATGAAGATTTTTCGTATTTGATATTTTATATTTTGTTTGTCTGTAGCGCTTTTTCAGAAATTTTGAAATAGAGATAGAAAATGACTGAAATTATGTTGATATTCAGAAAGGATGTACTTCGTTATATTTAGTTTTATAGTTATTTCAGGCTCATTGGATATCTTCATCAGATTCCAGGGTAGGGTAAAATATTTTGTATTTTTAAAATATTATTTAAATATATCAAAAACAGTGCAATAATAAAATTCTAAAAACGGGATCTTCAACAATTAAGAATAAGAAATTCCAAAAAAATCTACATTTAAAAGATTAAACTTATTCTAAAATAAACTCACTGACTTTCACCCTAGAGGGCCTCTACCTCTAGCATATTGTACATATTAGACGCCCCTTAACATATGATATCTTACACTTTGGCAAAATTTTCAAAGTTGTACACAAAGAATTATTTTTTAAAGGTTTGTTGTCCTAGTTTATGCTAACAGGTTTCTAAATTGTAAGAGTTTGTTTGCTAAAAGTTCTTTAAAAACTTTAAAGTGAATCCAGAGTCCAAAACTAAAGAACAAAAAGTTTTGACTTAAATTTTAAGTTCATGGTTAAATGCCACTTCTGACTTGATTTAAACCTGAACTTTAACCGTGAAGTTAAATATTTAACCCTGTGGTTAAATATTTAACTCGCCGAAATCGACGAGTTAATATTAAACACAGGATTAAAATCTTGAAATCCCGCAATCCCTATTTGTCTATCATCATTCAGCGGTAAGCGGCATTCAACTAATTAATTACGATATATTTAAAAGTAAAAACCTTGATTTAATAAATTTCACATTTTAGATTAATTAGTGTTTGCACGTAAACCAAAAATACAGTTGTAACTTGAAATGTTTTGTTTTCCGTCACGTAAATAAATTTTAAAAAACAGCTGATTACCGAATACCGATACTTACGTAATAATTCTTTAAATCCTTTTCTCTGATGGTTCAGATTTTTCCCGGGAAATTCAAATTTAAAATTGAGAAAGTTTAATATTTAAGTAGCTATTAATTATTTTACAGAACTTTTAACCTCGAACTTAAAATTCGCGCATTCTTTAGTTTTAGACTCAGGTTTAATTTTTTTAAGAAGAAAATTACAACATTTACATTTTCATTAGATTTAAACCGCACTTTCTTGAAACATAGACAAATAACATTATTGTGGTAGAACTTACTAAAAAGTACTAAACTGTGAAACAATTAATTTTATTTTTTCAGTCAGTTATTCAATTTGGAACTCATAAATGGGACTGCTAGCTTGGTTATCAAGTTTGAATTAGATATTAATGTTTATAATTTTGAAAACTTATCAGTTTTTAATTTTGGTTTTGCTACAAAAGTGACTTGCGCATTTCTACTGCAGTATCTTCCACATTTCTGATCAGAATATGGTTTTATGGTGAAATTACGTTTTATGGTTTAAATTACGCTTACAGCTAGTCCCTTCTACAGGATTGAAACAAGACGTCTAAAAAACTATATATATGAAAATAGAAAAAACTATCGATGACATTTGAGTTTAAGAATTGCAACAAAATTTTGTCAACCCTATCTTCTCCTGTCTCCTTCCCTATCTCCGTTAAATATTTATTTTCCAAATTTGATGGAATATTATTGAAAATAATTTAAAATCATATTCCAGGTCTACCACCTGGAATATATACTTGAGTCAATATAGATATCAAATTGACTGAGAAATTGGGGAATTGTGTGAAAGATGTGGGGTTAATGGAACCAACAGGAGAAAATATATACTTTTCAACTTTATAAATGTTCTTTTTATTCTACTTTTTATCTAGAAGAAAAAAGTTGCAATTTTAATTTTTGTTCAGGTTTAAATTAAGAAAAGAAGAAAAAACTCTATTAAATCTTTATAAATGAGTTGAAATAAGAAGCACATACTAATATATATTAAATGTATTGTCAAAAATAAAAATAAAAAAGGTTTCTCTGTAAGGGTAACCTTTAATTTAAGTCTTAGATTTTTTTAACTTTTATTCAATATAAAGTCTTAAATTCAAACACTTAAATTGAAACTTTTAGATTAATTAAAAGGCAGCTGTCAAAGCAATAAGAAATTCTTACAAAAAAAAGAATCTAAGAAATCCTCACTGCAATGCAATAGAATAACTTTTTTAATATAAAATCGTGAATCGTTTATTGAATTTATTTTAAGATAAGATTACGATAATAATTTACTAAAAAAATCTTAACTATTCAGAACTCATATCAAATTTTGTTATTAATAGTTAATAATAATTAATAATATTTTAATAAGCTGTGAAGCTAAAAATTAGGCAGAATTATAAAAACAAAAAACTTGGCAGTTTCCTTGTTTTGCACAATTTAGAAAATCAGAGCTGAAAACTTTAGAATGGTGGATATCATAAAAGGGCTAATTTCATAAATTTCGAGATTAAATATTGCAGTAACTCTGCATGATTTTAAACTTCAGATTAATTATTCGACGGGATATCTGGATATTTCATTCTAAAGTTTTCAGCTCAGTAAATATTTATGACTTAAGGTTGTTTTCCTTTTCAACTTTATTCGAGGGACCACTGTATCTCCAGTGAAGACTAGATAATTGATATTCTACCTGAGTTAGGTTGACCGCCACTGTTAGGTCGAGCAGATGGGGCTCCATCCCTTGCCTCCACTTCCAGAGCATAAGCACCTTTCGTCTCCCTAGAATATTATATTACAAAATCTTTCTTTTTCTTTCTATCTTTTTCTTTATGTTACATTTTCTGAACTTTTTTCCTTTTTCTTTGTTACTTTTCACTCTCAAACTTTTTTTTCTTCGTTCTTGTTTATGTACCATTATCTCTTTCAAACTCTATCTTTTCTTTTCTTTATATAACATTTTCTCTTTGAACCTCTTTTTCTTTCTTTATTTATTTAGCGTTGTCTCTTTCAAAATCTTTCTATTTCTTTGTAAAACATTTTCTCTTTCTTACTCTCTCACTTTTCCTTTGAATAGAACATTTCTCATTTTCTCTTTCAAATCTCTTTCTCTAGATCACTAACTCTCTTATGTTCCCTAGAATATAGCACTCTCATTTTATTTATTAATTTTGTTTCCCTATCCAGGATGAAAATTTTTGATTCACTTTATTTTGTTCTTAAGAATAAAACATTGCATTTTTGGCATTCTTTATATGTTTTCTCTTTAAAGTCTCAAGATCATGTTTTAACAATAAAAAATATATATTTAAAGGGAGTGGTCGTCAATGTTTGGTAGTTAAACTGAGAATATAGTATTTGTTAGGATTCATTGGAGACACATAAAACGTTTTAATTATGTATAATTACTGAGTTTGAGTAATTATACATAATCATCCGTCGTTCAAAATCATCCGTTTGGGTAGTTACGTTTTGAGAATCGATTTTTAAAAAAAATTATTAGATAACGACGACAAAAAATGTAAACAAAATTCTACAGTAAACTAATTAGGTGTTTAGAAACATATTTGTCAAATAAAATGTTCTCAATAATTCAATGTTAGAATCAATTATTTCTTTTCCATCATTATATGGAATTTCTTATTCTTTATGAATCTGTTCGCAGATTTCTTCAAATTCTTCAAATGTCGTCTTTTCAATAAAAATTCCCGGCAATCTACAGAAAATGTTTGTAAACAATGAGACATTAAGAAATCAATAACTGTATACGATTACTTATTTTCGATGATAAGTTAATTTTTAATTCCTCAACCTGTTGCTAAACATTTGATTAGTTTACTGTAAACTTTTTACAATATTTTTTGTCGTCCTTATTGAATAATTTTTAAAACCCGATTCTCAAAATCATCCTTCTAAAACGAACAATTTGTGAGGATTTTAAAGATAGAATTTGCGCTCTTGCTGAACAAATATGCACCGTAAAACGTCTCATAGGACTCAAATGATTCCTAAAAAATTTCTCCACAATACTACATTCTCAGTTCAACTTATACCATACATTGCCGGTCACTCCCTTTAATTAAAGACTTGAATTCCTTGTTAACCCATTTAAATCTGGTTTAATGGTTCATGTTGTAAATTGAAGTATAATTAAGGTTAGCTGAACTAGAATCCTAGACACAAAATATAAATTGGATAAAAAGTAATTTAATTTTGAAACTGCTTAACTACTGCTGGTGAGTTGAAACTTCTTCAGATATTGAAAAAGTTTTTAACAATAACTTAAATCCTTTGTTTTAATTAAATACAACTTTTCCAGATTCAATTGGAGAAATGTTCTTTTTAAAACTTCTTAATTTGAAATAACTAGCATTTCTGATCAAATTAGAGCCTTAAAAGCATCGTCTGATCAAGCTTGTCGACTATAAAAGTGACTTGTGAATTTCTTGCTTGTAATAATGATGGAAATTGGGATAAGTTAACAATTTTCAAACTAGAAAAACGATTATTGATCAGATAAAGTATAAATGGGTATCAGTGTGCATCAGACACGTCCATTTATTAAATTGCGAGTCCCTTAAACTGAAGAAAAGGAACAAAATATTTAAATAATTGTAAACCTAATGAGTTAGGGAAGAATTATACACAAACTGAAGACATAGCTAGGGACACTAACAAAATTAGGAGAAACCTTAATCAAAGAAAGAACTAGCTTAAAATACAAAAATTGTTCTATTTATGAAGTCATTTTTTAATAATGTGTTTTTGTTGTTAGACAAAGCGTTTTGTTGAATTCGCACAATCCTGATTTAAATTGATCCAGTCACCTGTCAAAAACTGCTTTGGTGAAGACCTCCCCGGTCTGAGAGTTGATCTCGAAGAAGTCCTTCCCCTCGTTCCTTACACTGTCGACGATGTAGTAGTAAACTTGGTTATTAGGGAAGGTTCCATCCTTATCAATAGCGTTTACCCTGGAAAAAATAATAATGATACTAATTAATGATAATCTATTTAATATTGCTTTTCGCCATAGAGAATAGAATATATAGAGAGGAATTAAAAGAATCTCTCGGTATGAATTTTTCAGTCCCTTTAAGCCTGAAAGGGAGTTCAAAGTGTTCAAATCATGTAAATGTTTACAAATTATATGCAGTAGAGTACATTAATACAGTATGTTCCCTAGACTATCCATTTCAATTTCGAATTTTTTAAACTGTTAAATAAACTTTATAATGAATTAGGTAAATATATTTTGAAAAGTATGTTCTCGAAAATTTGAAATAGGCAGAATTCCCTACCCCTTTTTTGATAACCCAAGATATAATTTTTTCCCCATTCAGGTTGGAAAAAATTCTAAAAAATGCCTGCGATCCGGGAAAATATTAATTTTACATTGGTAAAAGAAAGGATTTTTTTAGTGGGAGGGGGCAAAGGCAAAGGAAAGAAGACTTTGCCATATCTAATTTTCTAATCCTTTAATCTTTGCAACTCGATGTCGTAAACCTTTGATATTTTAAACTATGAATTCTGTTAGATCAGAGAATATATGCTTGAAATTTTAAATGTTCACACCATCAGGTTGCAAAGACATAGGGATTACAAATTTGAGTTTGTGACAAAGACTCTATTTCTTCGTAATGAATCATCTATATATAAACTAGTCATCTCTGCTTGTTTGTTTGAATGTTCGATCATAACTCAGAAACCCCTTGACCGATTGATTCTGGAATTTGGTAGAACCACGGAAATGTTCTTAGCTTGGTTTAAAAACTAGGTTGAGGAGGAGGTTTTCAGACAAAGCTAGGTTCCCAACCTATTTTTCTATAAATAACTTAAAATTCCCTTTCATAAATAGATTTTGTATTTACCTCAAGAACTATAAAGATGGTTGCTTCACTGGCCAGCTGCTGCGCTCCGTTATTCTAAATATAATAAAAATATGATAAATATATTGAATAAAAATGTAATACAAATATCAAATATTAAATAGAATGTGATACAAATCTATATGATCAAGCTCTTCAGCTAACATCATAATTCAATACCAAACAAGGTGGGAGTAACTCTCAGCTAGTATTTAATAAAAATCTTTTACAAATATTAGTAAACTATATAACACAAAACATTAATTAAAAATATTAGACAAAAATTCAATATCGATTTTTTTCCAATTAATTCATCAAAAAAAACTGCTTAAAAAATAATCTAATGAATTTTCATTGTTTTTTTTTTAACTATGGGATGTGTTGGCCTACAATTTAGTTTTAATTATGGGATTTGTTGGCATACAATGCAGTTTTAATTATGGGATTTGTTGGCCTACAATGCAGTTTTAATTATTGGATTTGTTGGCCTACAATGCAGTTTTAATTATGGGATTTGTTGGCATACAATGCAGTTTTAATTATGTGATTTGTTGGCATACAATGCAGTTATAATTATGGGATTTTTTGGCATACAATGCAGTTTTAATTATGGGATTTGTTGGCATACAATGCAGTTTTAATTATTGGATTTGTTGGCATACAATGCAGTTTTAATTATGGGATTTTTTGGCATACAATGCAGTTTTAATTATGGGATTTTTTGGCATACAATGCAGTTTTAATGATGGGATTTGTTGGCATACAATGCAGTTTTAATTATGGGATTTCTTGGCATACAATGCAGTTTTAACTATGGAATTAGTTGGCATACAATGCAGTTTCAATTATGGAATTTTGTTGGCATACAATGCAGTTTTAATTATGGGATTTGTTGGCATACAATGCAGTTTTAATTATGGGATTTGTTGGCATACAATGCAGTTTTAATTATGGGATTTAAGGCCTACAATGCAGTTTTAAATATGGGATTTGTTGGCAAACAATGCAGTTTTAATGAGTCCGTGGATAAAATGAAAAATACGTTGATACGGCTCCGGATCCTGTGATGAACAAAACCAGATATAGTCCGGGTCTGGTAAATGTTTAATTCAATTGTTTTTACCTCAACTCTAATAGTGAGATTGTATTCCTTAATTCTTTCATAGTCCAGGGGTTGATTAACCTAAAAATAATTATATTTTAATATATCAATACCACACTCAACTAGACGTAAGGAAAAGGTCAAATTTAGCGACTTTACTGGTCCGACTTTGTGACCCCGTTATAGCTCCTCTCAATTAGGTTTTACTGACAAGAATGAGAAAAAAATGTAATGGGTTTTAAACTAGAAATCAAAAACCTTTTTATTCTTTTAAACATTTGTAGATTTATTCAATAACATCAATTTAAGCCACAAAGTTTTATGAAATCGATCAATTTACGCATAGATAATTCTTCATCGAGGTGAGGGTGTGAGGAAGTATGACAAACCCTTATTAAATTGTAGACGTAACTTTAAGAGACCCTATATTCCATATTTATAGAGTGGTATTTCCGATTCACATCCTCGGTTTTTCTATCAGGAAATTAATTGTATCAAACTACGTTTTCGAGAAAAATTTAAGAAATTAATAGCATGTATCTTGCTCATTTTGACTCTGTTATAGGTTAATAGATAATATTTTACTTCAAAATCTTCTATATTTTTACTTAATAGAAGGATAAAAGGGTACCGTAGTGAATCGAAAAAAAATCCTCTTGATAAGATATTTTTTTTAACCCTAACATTTTAATTCCTATATATTTTCCTACAGTAGTAATTCGCAAGAAACTTTTGTTAAGAAACCACAATTGAAAATAATCCGTTTTCCAAATAAAAAACATTTATATCTAATTCATATTTAAAAGCTTTAAATCAATTTGCTTACCTTCACATCAGCGTAAGTCCAACCATTCTCCGTTCTTTGTTGAAGATAGAACGTATCGTATTTATTTGTTTGATCGGTGGATCCTCGGATCAATTGATAGAAGATCGTCGGATTATCCTCGATACCGGAGCTAAACAAGATCATTTCAAGGATCAATTAGGAGGAAAAGAAAACATAACAATCCTCAAACATACTTAGAAATAATCTGGTTATCTATTCATTTTTAGGAGTGTAAAAAAATTGTAAGACTTAGACTGTTAAACCGAAAAACCTGCATTTTCAGTATTTCAGTGTCACCGAAATGAATTAAGCCTTTACAAGAAAATAGACAGGGCCGACTTTTAACAAATATGAGATTTTTTATACTCTTTGAAATTTGCATCAAAAGTATCAATGTGAAAGATTTTCTGGCGACATTTTTCATGCTTTTCAATCAAATTGGAATTGAGTCTTTGGCACAAACTTAAATTTTCTAATCCCTATTATTTGAAACCTGATGTCGTAAACCTTTAATATTTTAAACTTAAATTATTTGACCTAACACAATTTATAGTTTGAAATATCTAAGGTCTACAACGTACGTTGGGTTGCAAAGATATTGGGATCAGAAAATCAGTGTTTGTTGCAAAAACTCTATTCCGTCAACATGAAAAGTAATTTAATATATTTTTGAGAAGAGTTATGTTTTCAGTCAGAATTAGTACTATGTATTGTACGCAACACATATTTACACATCTAAATACAATTCAAAAATGCTAAAAATGGAAAAAAATACTTAAATCTAAAAAAATTGTTTAGATTTTTCTTTTTTCAGCATTTCGTTGAAAACACTAATAGGATTTATTAGCATTTAAGATGCAACATTTTCCTGTTTAAAAAAATAATCCTTTTAGATATTTTTCATCGGGTACTTTATTGTCCTAGAAATATATTTTAGAGATTTGTTAACAGGAATAAATCTAGAGCTTAAAACTTTGAAATCACGATAAAAAAGTCTAATACATTTCTAGGATTTTCCCTACGACACAAGTATACAGCAAATACTAGTCAAAAATACAGTTTTTCAAAAATCACAAATTCTTACAGAAACGATCTAAAATATTTTTTTGAAAGATCGAAAAAAACAGTTTTTGTAAGAAATTGTTTTCAGAACACTTCGACATCTAGAGCACACACATATAAACACCACATCTAAATGATAATGTTATCTAAATTATAATTTTATCTAAATAGGCTAAATCCTGAAAAATATCCACCCAAGAAAAATCATGGATGTTCTATTATTAGTATAAAAAAATATGAAAGAAGACATTATTTCAGTTTTTTTGAAAAATTATATTTTAAAAAATTAAAGTTGAAAATTTTTTTAAAAAACTTTAAATAAGGATCTTCTTTTATTTGAATAGTTAATAGTTCTAAATTATCTCAAAAAATTATTCTAAATTAAAGCTACCAACACTAAGAATGTGGACACCTTCTCAAAAAATAGGCGCCTAAAAATCTGGGACTATTAATTTAAAAACCACACATATAAAAAGGTCTGGAGAGTTATAGGAAAATGTAAATCATTTTTTTTTTTAATTTAAAATATAACTCCCCAGACCCTTTTTTTGCATGGTTTGAATGACGATCTAAAATAGAAGATTATGACTTAGATAAAAAGTTAAATCCTTGTAAAAACGGATTTCCTGTAAAATGTTTTGACCAAACACTCATCATGCAACAATCTTCCCCTGATCATACTGTTGAATCAGTCCAGCCCAGAATACTGGTAACTGATTCAAAGATTGATCATGTAATGTGCGCCGTAGTAGAGATCCTTTTATATAATTCTTAACCTGTGTCAACCTATTTCCCCTTCCAACCACCATTAATTAAACTTTTATTCCTTTTTTTTTCTTTGCCCTTTTCCCCGCCAATTTCCAAACTACCACAATTATCCCATTTTTCTAGACCTTTCCTTTGCTCTTTTTCCTTTCCCTACCGTTTAGTTAGTAAAATTGCAGAGAATTTCTTTAATTTTACATCAAAATTCAATTTTTATTGGATACTGCAAGAGCAAGAGTTTTGTTAGTTAAAGGGTTTAGAAAGGGTAATCATCGGGTTAAGGTCTACACTTAAGGTTTTACACGGCACACTTGGGGATAAGTGCAGATTCCACAACAGACCTCGCTTTTACAGAAGTAACAGTTTGCCCGATGGCCGTGTTCTCCTTCACATAGATTGGACCGTAGACGGGCCGGTCCCACACCGGCGGCTTGTTGGACCGATCCACAACATCTATCTGAACCTCAACTGTTCGAGAGAGAACGGTATCTCCACGATCCTCTGCTATGGCCTCCAGTCGATAACTCTCGCGCTAGGGAGGGAATGAATTGTTAATATATTAATATGAACCTAGGGCTACCAATACCTACACTGCTATGTTAGTTCTAAGTATAGATGTAACTAAGACCTTCACCAACTATAGCAGGTGGTTGATACCCGTGTTCCGGAACCTTACATCTAAAACAAACCTGGCTTTTACTGCCGTCACCGTGTGTCCGGGCGTTGAATTCTCTTTGACATAAATAGGTCCGTAGACCTGCTGGTCCCACACAGGGGGCTTGTTGTTTCTGTCCACCACATCCAGCTCGACCTCTACGTCAGCGTGCAGGGGGGGATTCCCCCGGTCAGATGCACGCACGCGGATCGTAAACTTTGCGCGCTTAAACGGAAGAAAATTTAAAGAGTTTTAAAAGAACATGATACAAAGTTCAAATGGACACTTGGTGAGCTTTATAATCTAATCTCATTAGCAAAATGATTCTGAAATTATTACAGAGAAACTGAACACTTGCCTCAAACTCTAATCATCTGATCCCTATATGTGTGTACCCTTATGGTGTAATTCTTTAATATTTTAAACTGTGGCTGTAAGTTTTAGATCTAAAATAATATCAAAGCTCTACAACATCAGGTTTCAGGCCGCTAGGATTTGAAATTTAGAGTAAGAGGTAAGTGTTACGTTTCTTTCGAAACAAATTCAAGTTTTGTTTAATACTGAGTATCATTTAAATGATATAAAAGATCTTTGGAGTATTTAAATTTCAAGTCTTCTGACATTTTCAAAGATCAAAATTGACATTTAGCTCGGTAAAGCTACCTTTGGAATAAAATTAAAAAATTGTTCATGTTTTTTAAAGTGAATATTTTTGCGATTCTGCTTAAGTGAAGATTTAATTTTAAAAAGCATTTCTATATCAATCAGAAAAATTAATTTCACATTTTTTTAAAATGCCAATTTAAGTCTTTGAACTATTTTGAAATTCAAGCTAATTAAACTTTGATTAAAATTAAGTTTATCAAGGAAACTTTACTTAAACTTGAGAAAAAAGATACAAAGCATAAAAAATACTTACGGTGCATGACAAAAAATGGTTAAAAAAATTATTAGATTAAAATTGAAGTAAATAGTTAAACAATTTAGTAGTAACTCTCAAATAATTCACAGTCATTCATTTTTATAAAATTCATTCTCTTTGAAAGTAACTTAAACTAATATAAAAAATTCTGTTTGAAAACTGAAGAAGACCATTATTTCAACCAAAGGAAATTCGAATTCTTGGAATTATTTCTTATTTTAAGAAATTTAATAACAAACTTACGTCTAAAGGTTTCTTTAGGAAAATCCAACCAGATTCAGGTTGAATATCAAAGTAGTTGAGATCATCCCGCTGGAAAGGCGCTGCCAAGCTATATCTGATCGCACCATTATTGTCCGCATCCTCGTCGCTGGCGGAGACACGAAGAATGTTGGTCCCGATGTTCGTGTCCTGCTTCACGTTCTCGATGTACTTTTGCCGATCAAAGAGTGGAGGGTTGTCGTTAACATCCGTAATCTCCACTGTAAAGGAGCAAACACCTTCAAGCGAAGGCTCTCCAGAGTCGATAGCTTTGACTGTAACAGACACACTCTTTCCATCGTCGCCTTCTCGATCGAATACTTTGTTTGTAAACAGTTCTCCAGTTTCCTCGTCTACCGTAAATTTGGTTCCTTTCTGATGGGGCTGCTGAACAATTGAATATTTGACCTGACCATTCACTCCCTTGTCCTTATCCACAGCATTTACTTTAATTACAGGGCTGCCGTTAGGAGCTCCTTCTTCTATCTTCGGAGTGTAAGAACTGCAGTCCTCAAAGATCGGTTTATTGTCATTCACATCCGTGATAAAAACAACAACAACAGCGGTGGAGGTATGAACCTTTTGAGGATTTTTGGAATCTCCCGACTCCATACAGCATTTTCCATCGTCCATAGCTGTAACATTTAGTTCATATTTGTCACGATCAAGGTTGATATTTCCAGAGTTAAGACGGATCACACCAGTGTTTGGTTCAATCTTAAATAGTCCCGAGGTTTGGGATCCTCCGACAAATCCGAAAGTGACTCCGTCTCCGTCCTTGTCACTTGCAACGACAGTTGTGACAAGGGTATTCGGACCTGCATTCTCATCCACATTAGGTGTGTAAACCTGCTGGGAGAACCTTGGTTCCTCGTCGTTCTTATTCTCCGTGTACACACGGACAGTAGCAGTTCCTGTTCTAGCCGGTTCTCCTTTATCCTTAGCAGTAACCTGGAACTCATAGTAGGCATTGTTACTATCAGCATCCAGCCTTCTGTTGTTAGAAATAACACCGTTGGAGTCTACTGCAAAATGATCATCAGACACAGAGTAGGCAATGTCAGCGTTACTTCCAGAATCTGCATCAGAAGCTTTGACCTTCATAATAGAAGTTCCTATTGCAATATCTTCATCAATGTTATGCGCTTGGTAGTCAGGAAGTTCAAACTTTGGAGCATTATCATTCACATCAGACACTTTTATGGTTAACTCAACCGAGGTTGAAAATCCTCCAGAATCCTCTGTTGCAGTGACAAGAAGTTGGTAGATGTGAGGCTGACGGAGATCCTCGAAATCTAATTCCTTGGCTAGCTTAACAATCCCGGAGGATGGTCCAATGTTAAATGTTCCAGCTCCCTGTCCTTGGGCCTTCAGAGTGTATCTAATCTCCCGGTCAGCAAAGGACTTTGCTTTCACCGAAATGATGTCAGAGTCCTTCTTTTGACTTTCAGGTATTTCCGCTTCGTAGGACGGCATGTAGAACTGAGGAGGACGTTTTCCTCCGACAATAGATAAACGTTCCTCTGGAGTAGATTGGTAGGTTCGCCCGTTTTTACCATTCTGATCCTCAGCCTTGACGTAGAGAACGTATTCCATGTCTAGTTGGAAAGCTTCAGCTCCCCTGGTTCTAACAACTCCGGATCTTTCATCAACCTCAAACCTTCCTCCAGCTGGAACAATATCACATTTGGGTAAAATTGGACTAATTTTGTAACTTAGAAGATATACAATAAGGTATATAAAACTGTGGATAAGGAAAACGACTGTTAGCTTAAAGCTTGGCTGGTAAATGAGACACAGCAATTGTACAATGTTCTGCTGGAGACTTATTTCACTTAATAAGTTACCGGTAAAACTATTTACTGTGTTTTAACATCCAATGCACAAAAAATCGTCTTCATGTCGTCTTTATATTATACAGTTTTATGGGTCCCCACTGCATTATTTTTCTTATTTTCGTAAGCAATATTTGCAAGTAAACTCGGAAATAAAGAAGCTAAAAAATATCGTCTTCCATTGAAATAAAATAAAACTTGCCCACATAATCTATATGAAACCAAGAACTTTACAAAAATTAAAGTTTGATAAATTTCTTTACAACATAATTGTCTGAATCTCTTAAAAAAGATTACAAACTCTTTTTTTGGACAATTTTACCTCATAAGAAATAATACGATAATACAAGAAAAAGGCAAAAGAGAAAGATTAACAATTAAAAGGGTAAAAATTAAAGAATCTTACTTCTATCTCTGACCAGGAAATAATGGAGGTTTGGATCCGAATCCGGGTCCTTGGCTTGGAGGGTAAATACTGGAGTATTCGGTGGAGCATTCAGCTTTACTACAGCCTAGATAATAATTGACAATAATAACAATAACAATAACAATAACAATAACGATAACGATAACGATAACGATAACGATAAAGATAACGATAACGATAACGATAACAATAACGATAACGATAACGATAACGATAACGATAACGATAACGATAACGATAACGATAACGATAACGATAAAGATAACGATAATGATAATGATAATGATAATGATAATGATAATGATAATGATAATGATAATGATAATGATAATGATAATGATAATGATAATGTAAAAGATACATCCTAAGTTCTGGAAGTTCAGATAGCAGAATCTCACCAGTTTGCGGAACTATCACGAAGGGTCCTCCCTTCCTCACTACTCGATAGATCACTTTATCGCCGTCAGGGTCAATCGCCGACACCTGGCCGACAGATTCAAACCGCCGGATCGACAGCGGAGCGGTTAAACTGTAGATTTTCTGTTTGAACACTGGAGCATTATCGTTTATATTTTTAACAAAAAGATTAACGTTGATAACAGCTCTCTCATGAGATTCAGGATTAGTGAGAAGAATTCTGAACTTGAGTTCAGGATCAGATTCATGATCTAGAGATTCAAGGGTTGAGATTGAGATCAGGGTTGAGTTTTCTCCGTACACCAGAGCAGCTGAGATCTGTCGTCTAATCTTGACAGGATGAATTTTAATCTCTAGGTTGTGGTTGTGGTCTCCGAGGACCTTGAGTTCTCCAACCTCGGTGTGAGGAGGTTGGTTCTCGGATACGGAGAGAACTGCATGTGATCTAGTGAACCTGAGCAGGCTGTTAGGATCCTTCACGTTCACATTTATAATATGAAGCGTGGACTGATCCTCCTCTTGTCGGGAGACAGCAATAGAAAAGTTAGACCCTGAAATGAAAGATGATTAACAACAAACCTTTAAAATTAATAATAATAATAATAATGGGCGGTTCGTCGTTAACATCTCTAACTTTGATGATTACTCTCTGATTGTCAGTGTCTAAAAAATAAAAGATAAAATAAATAAAATTTAATTTAAAAAATTTTAATGACTAACATGCAGAAAAAAAACCCGTTTTCACACTCACAACACCTACCTGGATTCAAAAAGAAGTTTGCACAAAAAGTCCAAAAGAAAAAGTTAGGATTTTATTGAACGCATCAAAAGAGTAATATTTCCAAAATGTTTAAAAGATTTTAAGATTAAATACTCCTAAATTATATTTTTATTCTTTAATTTACAGATGGATTTAGATGATGTAAATTAAATAAATGAATTACCCTGCCTGCCACTCAAAACACAATCCAAAAATGCATTTTGCATTCGCTGATATTATTTAAGTTTTGAAATAATATAAACATGAAAATCCAAACATAATATAAAATATAAATATTTAGACCAGGGGACCAGGCTTGATATATTAACGAAACCCAATTTATTGAACTGACAGTTCTAATTGAACAGCCATTAGATTAAGAGTCACAAACCAGTTTATTTAACAACAAAGCAGATAGAAAACATTCATCACAAACAAACTTTGATGATAAAAAAAGCTATTACGCATGCAAAAATATATCACCGATTTCGCACACGTGCAAATAATTCAAAACAAACATAAAATAAAAATGATTTTTTAAAAACAGATTTAGATTAATTTTAAAATTATTCATATCATAGAAAACTAATTATGAACATAAAATTAACAGTTATTTTTTTAAAGATCAAATTGAAAAACTGTGCCGAAGATTTTAAGTTATCTAAATTAGTTTATTAAATTAGATTTGGATTTAATTAATTTTTTAACAGTGATTCCATAAAACTGTGAATAGGAAGACGACATTGAGAAATCTGTAAGTATTTCTGATATTATAAAGATTTACTAGTATCTTTAAAATCAACTTATTAAGTAATTGGGTCGGTGCACAGTGCGCATTTGCTGTGTCTCATATTCATTGGACCCATAGTTAAATCAAAATGATATCTTTAATCTAAAAGTCGTCATTGTATTTTACAGTTTTGTGGTGACCACTGTAAAATTGAAAGAAAATACATGCAACAGTAAAGACATGAAAACTAGGTTACTTACACTGCAATCCTCGCCACCCTGTGCAAAACAAATCAAATTTAAGTAAATTTTATGTTAGTTTCCATCTTTTTAATTTTAACAAATTTTTTGAATATGGAACCACATAATTTGATTTTTCTCATGTACTTGGGCGCAAAATCTAAACTAGAGGAGCTACGAGGTCACATGGACGAGCTCATCACAAATCTTAATTTTCTAATCCCTATATCTTTGCAACCTTTTGTGTAATGATAGTGTAATCTGTGGTAAAGACTTATAACCCCCGCCCCCCCATTTCATAGCAAACTCAATCTTTTTATAATATTCCTTTTAGATTTAAAATGTTCTAAAAGTTTAAAGAATTCTATTGTTGTTCTACGAACTGTTTGCGACTAAAATAGAATTTATTCTAAAATCATTTATTGTATAAAGGGCCAAAACAGTTAGAAACGAATAGTATAGAAACAAAAAACATTTTTATACAAAGAGTTAAGAGAGAAAAAAAGGATTAGGAAGAAAATATGATTTAGAAGGGAGACAAATGTTGAGGAAGGAATATTTTTTTAGCCAACAAAACTTTTTGGTGGTAGAAACGAATACACAGAAAAATAACAATTAGAAGGAAGAAACAAATTGGGAAAAGAAACTTTAGAAGGAGAAAAAATAAAACAAAGTGCTTTAGCGGGGAAAAACAAAGCATTAGGAGAGAAAAACAAAGCATTAGGAGAGAAAAACAAAGCATTAGGAGAGAAAAACAAAGCATTGAGATGGCGGAATAAACTGTTTGATGAATGATGGAAAGGGGAATTGAAGCATTAGATATCTAGAATGGACATGACAGGAGGGGAATTGGTAATATGAAATCATGAATTCATGGGATTGGAAAGGAAATCAAAGTTTATGAAATTTATTCCCCCCTGGGTATTGGTTGGAGAGGGAAATGAAGAATATATATTCAAGGTTGAAACCATGGCATTTCTTGCAAGCTTAAAGATTGGAATTTAACCAGGGAAGACTTATATATTTTATCAGTCACAACTTAAAGGAAAATAAAGCCTGTTACACAAGCAAAGTTTAATAAAAGGTTATATTATTGCAAAATTCAGAGCAAAAAAAAATAAGTAAAAAATCGAAACAAAATCGGAATTTTTTTAATGCCTCGTAAAAACTGCATTTTTAAGTCTCGTTTTTTAATAAATCCTAAAATTTCTGAACCATCCCCCTCTCCCCGTGGTCCAGAATAATAATTCTCTTTGATGTAATTAAGGTATTATTGATTGCTGAAAGGGATATTTATAAATACTTTACCTCCGCTGCCGGAGTTAGTGATAATAACCCAGAAATCAATCGTCTTCTCCCGACCTAACTCCTCATAATCCCACTTCTTCTTTACCCGCACGGCACCGTTCGGTTCAACCGTTACCCAGGGGTTCTCATCTCGTATCTTGAAGGTTTCATGTTCGCTCTCTTTCTCTAGAGAGAACACTATTTTTCCCTCTGGTTCTCCGTCCGCTTCGGTGAAATCATTGCGCTTCGTGGGACGCACAGCACGTGTTACTCGACGCTTGACCCTGGAGTGTGCCTCCGTGATGTTCTGAGGGAGGACCTCGTTATCCTCGAAGCTGATGTAGACAAGGGCGGGTTTACTGGTGAGGGAGGGGGACCGGGTATCCATAGCAACAATCTAGAATATAATTATTAGTTTTTTTAGTAATTGGTGTATTTATTTTAATTGAACACAATGAAGTTGTCACGAAAACGAAGACGATTTTAACACTAGAGGTTTTGTTGAATTAGATCTACAAACATGGTAAACATATGGATTGTTGATCTAACATCTATAATCACCTACAACGAAACTAAGTTTTCTAATCCCTATGTCTTTTCAACCTGGTGTTGTAAATCTTTGATATTTCAAACTTAGATTATTTGATCATATAGAATTCCTATTTTGAAATATATGAGGTCTATAACATTAGGTCTCAAAGATAAAGGGATTAGAAAATCAGAGTTTATGGCAACTTGACTAAATTCCTTTTAAATATTTCTATGTAATATCTATGTAATTTTTATTTTTACAAGCTTTCCCACTTTGGATATATTTAGGATCATCTTCTCAATCCAGTTAATTCTGGTGACCACCGCACCAATTGAAAAATCTAATTAACGAAGTGTAAGACAGCCCCCCCCCCCCCGGCCCCCTCCATGCCCTTTATTTGATTTGGGTTGAATAAGCAATCTAGTATTTTCCATTCAGTCACAACCATTTTATATTTGATCAAATCTGTGACAGTAACAAACTTGATCACTTGCATGGGGGGGATCAACAAAAATCATAAAAGATCACTTAAGAACATTTTTTATTTTTTTTTTTTTTTTTTTGTTAACAAGAAAAATAGATATTAAAGGTATTGAGCTTTTGCAAAAAAAATGATTTTCTAATCCATACATTTTTGAAATCCGATGTAGTTGACCTTCGATATTTCAAACTCTAAAACCCATTTGATCAAATAGTCTAAGTTTAAAATATCAAATGTTTACCATTAGGCTGCAAAGATATAGGGGGTAGACATTTTGAGTTTTTGGCAAAGACTCAAATTCTTTGTTTTGGAAAATCGTTGGAACGACGGAATTGTTCTTAGCTCGGTTTAAAAGTTCTTATTCGAGTAGGTTAGTTTCCAAACAATGCTAGGTTTCCTTGTCACTTTATTAATAAAATATAATATCTTAATTTTCTAATCCCTATATCTTTGCAACAAAATATTTGATATTTGAAAATCTCAATTCTGTTAGATCAAATAGATTTAGATTAATATCAACGTTCATACCATGCATCAAGTTACAATGATATAGGGATTCAAAATTTGAGTTGATGACAAAAACTTAATTTCTTTATGTTTCATGATTAAGATATAATAAAGTTGACAGAAATATTGAGAACATGTTCAGAATTCATATTGATTATTGATTCATATGCTTCCTTCAAAATATCATTGAGGACTTTCTTATTTTTAAATATTTATTGAGACAAATGTAATCCTCCCCCCCCCCCACATACACATCAAAAGTCATCTTACAAATTAATAAGTTCACAGGAATTGGGTTTTCTTAAAACAATCTGAAGGAAAATCATCAAAAGGGTTTAAAAGCTTTTAAATTTATGTCCCATTTCTTTTAAAGTTAAAAAAATGTTTTTCTTATTTACAATTAACAAGGACGGGGGCGCACTTCTTTATGGAAATACATTCACGAATCCACAGATCTAACAATTTTTTTTAAATGGTCAATTTTATTTATTGGTAATGTTTATGGAGAAAACCCCTTTAAGAATCAACCCGAGATATAAAGATAATGTTTTGTAAACACTCAACAGTTGATAAAAAGGGATGAGGGAGGAGGGAGGGAGGAGGGGGTATATCGATTTGTCCTACTTCCAAGAGTTGCACATTAACCACGTTTTTGTAAGGAAACATTTCTAACTCTAGATAAAAAGTGTGACACTAATATTGACAGGAGTAGTATTGGAGGTAGGTAGTCCGGGTGTTTTTACAACTATAGAAATTCTTCGGAGTTAGGTCAATTATTATGGAAGGTGCAAATATTTAAGGGTTCGAAAGGTCTAAGGAGCTTAAATTGATTTTAACTCAACGAAAGGGGTTTACAATAAGTGAGGGGGGGGGGGAGAGGAAATTAGGCCAAATTATAATCGCCTAAACAAGTTAATCCAATTTTAGATTACAGAATATAGTAATTTATAACGTTTTATCTATAGGAACCCGTAATTTATTTCGTTTAGATTACAGAATATAGTAATTTATAACGTTTTATCTATAGGAACCCGTAATTTATTTCGTTTAAGGAATTCTTTCCATTAGATTCATTGCTGTTAATGTATTCCTGGGATTCCTAGCTTTTAATTGATATGCATAAAGCCAGTTAAAAATTTTCATTTTTGGAGGTAATTAAGGTCATTAGAGGTCGTAAGAGGTCATTAGAAGGTCAAACACTGGATTGGTTGCTGCTACTGTGTTCCCTGGGTTCTTAGATTTCGTTTGATATTTATAAAGCCATAGTTGAAATATTTTCTGTTTGTGGAGGTTATTAGAGGTCATTAGAGGTCATTAAAATTCAATTTTATTTTATTTTAGTAATTTCGATCACTAATTAGGCGTGCAGCCAAAATATTGGAAGATTTGAACCAAAAATGAAGGCAGGGACCCCCCTACATCAAACATGCCATCTCCACCATCCCCTTCGTTTCATATTTTCCTCTTTAAGGTAATCATGAACATGGAGAATGGAGATCAAGTTTCATGGGAAGAAAATATGTCAATGCCTAGGTTAAATTTCAGTTAAATGTGAAAAAAGGATACGAAAACATTACCGGGGAATTTTCTGAACCATTATTGTTCTGCAGAAAGTTCTAATGGCCCAAAGTTGATTCCGGCTTAAATCTTGTATGGGAGAAAACTAGGGAATAATATGTAATAGTGCGAGAATATCCTTTGAGAATGCGAGGAAGGAGGAGGGGAAAATATTTAAAATTTTAAAACCGAGTTATATTTTTCTTTATTTGAAATAGTGAAAGGATAAAGCTACCAGCCTAGCATAGCTGTTTGAAAGCTTTATCCCATTTTTGCGAATGATAAATGTTTGAAAAAACTAATAAACAGTTTCTTGATTAAATCATTCCTTGTTTTTATTCAAAATAAACAAATGTCCATTAAGGAGGTTTAACTCATAGTGTATATAACCCCGAAGGCAGTTAAACTGTAAACAATCTTAAAAATCTAATTAAAAAAAAATATTCTTCCTCATTGAAATAAAGCAATTGAGTCTTAGCTAAAAAACTAATTTTCTAATCCTTACATCTTTGCAACCTGATGATGTAACCCATAGATATTTAAAATTTAGATTAACATAATTCATTATTTGAAATCTAAGGTTTACAAGATTGGGTTGCAAAGATATAGGGATTAGAAAATCAGAGTTTGTGGCAACACTCAATTTCTTTTAGGTTGAATTACAATCTTAAATAGTTTCAACCATTGCTCCTCTTTCAGAAAAGCTAAAGAGAAAAGCAAAATAACCAAATAAATCAGCTTTTCTCATTAAAATAAGAGGAGCTACTAGATTGAAACGTCGTATCGATGATTTCCCACAAATGACCTTTAACTATAAATGTCAACGTACATTATAAACCCCTCGCACCCCTAGAACCCTGTACCTGCTTTAAAAGCTAAAGTATCTGCAAGCATGAGATGCCCTGAGTTGAGAAGGTAGAAGGCTGATGATGCTGGGCTAGGAAGCAGGGTCAACCCGTCCAGGTCAGGGAATACCTTGACTATATCTCCTATAGAGGAGTTGGAGGGTAGGTGGAGATAACTAATATCACTAGAGAAAACTCTACATATACACACCAAGATCACTAGGCTAGTCCCTGGAGAACCCATCATTATGGAGTTCTTTTACTCCTCCTTAACCATTAAACTTAATCTTCATCTTGTTTCCCTTCGTGTTTGTTCACTTCACCTTCATCTTTAATTATATCTGAAAATAGCAACCCATGATCTAAAGAATACGTGATTTTTGCACCCCCCCCCCTTCCTCTCTCTTCTGAGCAAATGTTTAATGATTGCAAAGATTCTGCTGAAGCTGCGGAGAGTTCTGTATTGATTTTTACCAGAGGCACTTGGCCTACAGGGCAGGTAGAATCCGTAGAAAATGGTGCAAAGACAGAGAGAGAGAGATTTCATGTTCCCCAAAACCAGCTCATCTTTAGGGTTAGATTCTACCCTTGCACAAAACTATAGTTTACTGTGATTTCGTGTGGTATAAATGTGTGTGGAAGGTTGTATATGTGGTAAACTCCATGTGATAATATTCTATGCAGTGGAGTTGTAGTTTTCCTTTATTCCGAGGTTTTCTATTGACTACACTACACTATAGTGAGGAGAGAGAGAGTGGAGACTGGGAAGTGTAGTACCGACCGGTGCCCCCCCCCCTCATCCTTCCTACCCATCCTAGGCCGGCTTTCCATCCCACCTCCCCACCCATCCCTCTCCATATTCCCCACATATACCCTCCCCGGCTCTCGGCTCTCACCCACCCTACTGGAGAGCGGAAATGAACTGTCAATGTTTTTTATTTTAACTTTTCTATATTTGTATTAAAATAGGAAAATCCTCGTTTAAGGGTGTGTTTAACAATGAACGAGTGAGTGCAGTGCATGGAAACCGGTGGTGTGTTTACAGTGTGTGAAGGGGGTGTGCGTAGAGTGTATTTGGGTGGCACAACACACACAATACACTCTAAGGGAAATATAATTCAAATACCACACTTACCACTGCCTTCGGCATTTACATATTTGGTTCAGCAATGAGCATAGCATTGAGGGTTAACGGGGGGGGGGTTAAGGAAGGTTAGGACTAGGAGGGAAGGGGGGTGGGTTGCGGGGTGACTTGACAAACATTAAAGGATTAATATAGAGGGTTCAGAGCAGGCGCTTACAGATGGGTAGGCAATTGTTTTTGCGCGAAGCGCTTAACATTTTTTGCCCCCCTGGCCTTAAAAATGATGTTATTCCATATGAAGTCCACTACGTTTTTCCTATGTAGCCCATTGTAGTCCCAATTTCAGGACTATACATGCAGTTACCCACAAAGGACGAGACTGCAGAGACGATTGT